CGTTTCCATATTCCTACCTAATTAGCAATACTCCCCATCTGCGATGTTTCTTCCGGTAGAGTCAATCCCAACATTGGTGGAGCCAAATGATTCCTTACAGAATCATTCCCTATTTTCAGAACACCTAGAAACTCCCTACTATAACCAATTTCCCTGTACAGGGGAATTTTTTCCCTTCCTCTTCCCCACCGCCTCGTTAGAGACTTCAGAGGTGCCCTGATGAAGACCCAGGACCTCTACCACGCCCTCTGAGTCCAGGACACGGGCAGCCATTATATTCAGGAATACACACACCTGCTGCCTGTCTTTCCTAAAAGCTCCCTATCCTAGAGAAAATTTCGAACCTCTCCTTATCCGCCCCAATCCAATCCCTTACAATTTGTTTTAAAAACTTTGGCCCTACTACCTCCCCAAACAGCCAAGACCTCCGACCCCCGACCGAGCTAGACCGATGCTCCCTCGGGCCCCTCGTCCACTCCCGGCCCGGTGGCCCAACTCCCGATGGCACCTCGTTCACTCCCCCGTCTGCCCCTCCACTCACCCCCCGCCTCTCTCACCCTCCCCCCTCTCTCTACACCCCCTCTCTCTCTCACTCCCTCCCCCCCTCGCTCAGTCGCTCGCACCCGCGCCTCTCACTCACCCCGCGCCTACTCTCCACTCCCCCCGCTTGTCTCTCACCCTCCCCGTCACCTACCACCCACAGACCACTCTCACTCGGCCTCTCTCGCCCCCCTCTCAATCCCATCCCCCCTCCACCCCTCCTCCACCGGCTCATCACGTCCACACCCCCCCCCTCTCACTCGCCCTCCACCCCTCTCCACACCCTCCCCCTCTCTCGCACTCCCTCTCCCCTCCCCTCATCACTCCCTCTCCCCCTCTCTCACCCCTCCCCCCCTTCACTCACTCCTCTCCCCCTCTCTCTCACTCCCTCTCCCCCTCCTCTCTCACTCCCTCTCCCCCTCTCTCTCACTCCCTCTCCCCCTCTCTCTCACACCCTCTCCCCCTCTCTCACCCCTCCCCCCCTCTCTCACTCCTCCCCCCCTCTCTCACTCCCCCCCCTCTCTCTCACTCCCTCCCCCCCTCTCTCTCACTCCCTCCCCCCTCCTCCCTCCCGCCCCCCACCCTCTCCTCTCCCCCCCTCCTCTCTCTCCCCCCTCTCTCTCACTCCCTCCCCCCCCCTCTCTCTCACAGACCCACCCTAACCCTCGGTAAAATTTCCGACAATATGTTAGGTAAAAGGACACAAGTGCAACGAATGTGACATTATATTGTCAAGCCGGCTTGACAAAGCTCCTGGAGAGCGAAACGTTGCCAAAACAAAGTCGCATTAGTTGCATTTGTGTCCTTTTACCTAACGTATCCAATTTTGTTAAACAAAGTCACACGAGTGTTAACTAAATCTCTCTCCCTCTCATTCACTCTCAACAAACCCACTCTCTTCGTTTTCCAATTTCTTATTTCATCTCTCCTTTTTATCCAGTCATTCCTTCTGGTCCAGACTATCATCCTGTAAACCATCAGTGTCACTATCTTTTTTATCTTCCCAAAACAAAAAATAATGTGAATATTTTACTTTCCATTTTTCCCTGGAAATTTCTTATTTTAATTTTCCAGGATACCAAACACAAACGTACGCACACACACGCACACACGCACGCGCACACACACACACACACACACACACACACACATACGAAAATGCTCCTGGAGAAGAGAGTGGACCTAGGAGCGACCAGCGAAGACGCGGGGGTAGAAGCTGTGACTCGACCCCTGCAACCACAAATAGGTAACACACGCTACATTTCCTTCACTAATCCAAACTCTCCTGGCAAACAATTACATATAAGTGTCAGTCTGCCACGAGGAATACTGTGCGTGCAGACAAGTACATGCAAGTGTCTGCTACAGGCAGACGCAGACACTGTACATGCTACAGTACACTACACAAACATGTTCAAAACGGGTTCTGTAAAACAAAAATTTACACATTAAACCAAAATAAAATCTTTTCGAAAACGTCCCAAAACTTGACAAATTTTAAAGACGATCTGCAGCTACTGTCACCAATTTCCTGCCTGAAAACACCAACCTTTTTTTATGACTGCATCTTGTTATAACTTCTCGTAAAAATATTAAGTCAGTTTCTGAATACAGGAAGAATAACAGTAAAGTGGTCATAACCGAGTTTTACCTCCAAACTTTCCTCCTGATATAACTAGACTTTCAGACTTTTATAGACCTCACACACACACAAAAAAAGCTAAACGCGGCAGAAAAGCTTCATCGACTATATCTTTCAGTGATTTAAATATAAATATATATATATATATATATATATATATATATATATATATATATATATATATATATATATATATATATATTATATATATATATATATATATGTCGTGCCGAATAGGCAGAACTTGCGATCTTGGCTTAAATAGCAACGCTCATCTTGCCATATAGGACAAGTGAAAATTTGTGTATGCAATAATTTCGCCAAAATCATTCTGAACCTAACGAAAAATATATATTTGATTGTGTTCGTTTAGTATTAAATTATTGTAAACAAATCTAAAATATATATAGTTGGGTTAGGTTAAAATAAATTGCGCTTGTTATAATAAGGTTAGGTAAGTTTTCTAAGTTCCTTTTGGTGCAAAATTATAAATTTTTACATCAACATTAATGAAAAAAGTATATCTTTAAACGTATAAGAGAAAATTTAAAAAAGGGCTTAATTTTAAATGAGTTCTTGCTAATTGACCAGTTTTACATATTCGGCACGACATATATATATATATATATATATATATATATATATATATATATATATATATATATTATATATATATATATATATATATATATATGCAGATGTCCGCACACGATATCTACACAAGAACAATTCTCATCGCAAATTAATTTCACTCAAATTTGCTTCCAATTTACGCTAGACACATCAGCACATATCGAAGATGGAGGATACGAATATTTACGACATTTAATAAAGGAAACTTTTCGCCCCACACTGTTTTTTTTTCAGTCCTGCGGTAGGAAATGACGACAATGTACATGAATGGCTCAGAGAACTGACAAGTTTAAAAATTAGACACATGCGCAACATTTGGGTATCTTAGTTGAAGAAACGTTTCGCCACACAGTGGCTTCATTGGTCGGTTTTCAAAACCATTTATCACAAAGAAGAATGATTGAGACACTTATGCAACATACGGGAATCTTTATTGAGGAAATGTTTTGCCAATAAAGATTCCCATATGTTGCATATGTGTCTCAATCTTCAACTTCATACAAAGAATAATGGTGAAGATGAGAGGGAGTTTGAGGTAATCAGTCCCTCGACCTGGAGTCACCACTCTTCTTCGTATTGGACTGATGAAGCCACTGTGTGGCGAAACGTTTCCTCAATAAAGATATCCAAGCGTTGCACATGTATGTAATTTCTCAATAACGACAAACTGAAGTTGATAAACACAAGCAGCAACTGGAAAAAACTAAGACAACGTTTCGCCTGCACAACGTTTTGTTGAAAATGGTATCAAATCTAGACAAACTGAGGATTAAGACACGTCAAATAGTTGGGTATCTATTAAGATAAAGATGCCGAACTGTTGCACATGTATTAATCTATAACAGGTTTTTACCTACTCTCCAGTCGAATAGAGTAGATTTGAGGTGATCAGTCCCCCAAGGCATGGTCAGAGATGGTCAGCCCCCCGAGCATGAGGGTCTGATCACACGCGTGGAGCATGTGAACATTTAATCAGTCGAATCTTGAAAAGATTGATGGACTGATTACATTGACTCCAGGTTGAGGGACTGAGTACCTCAAACCCCTTCTATTCTTCATCAATCTCCTTTATACTGGACTGATGAAGCCACTGTGTGGTAAAACGTTTCCGTAATAAAGATACCCAAGAGTTGCACATGTGACTAATTTATCAATTTGTCGGTTCTCTGAACCATTTATCTACATGTGATATTTTCATCGAGAAACAGGTACATACATACGTGTATGAAGGTACATAAATACGTGTATGAAAGTACATACACACTACGTGTTATGTACCTTCTCTCACATCCTGCTAGCATCACCTCGCCCCGTACAACCATCAACACACAATAATTATGTGCTTACTTGCATTTACAGCGTGACTGGTAATAATTTTCTTTACACAGTTGAATTTAAATTATTTGGTCTGGCATTAGCTAAATCTAGTGTTTGTGTGTGTGCTTTCAAAACCACTAAAAAAAATATTTATGTAAGAAAAATCTAAATATATCCTGACAGACGCAGCAAGCAGATATAATGGGAAATGAACTTTTGATCGATTAAGGAATATAGAACGGGAGAGGAACTTTGCTGGATCAGGGAATACATAACGGGGAAAGACACTTTGATAAATCAAAGAGTACATAACGGGAAGGAGACAGTATTGTCCCACAGACACCATGAAAGATATAATTATGATATAAAACATTTTCAGAAGGCAAAGTTTAACCTGATGACATCATAGGATATAATCTAGTGAGATATGATAACGACGTACAAAATACCAGGAGGAATTTATAGGATGAATATGAACAAGCTGTTCGAAAGGCAGGAGACAGGTACACAAGAGCAAACTGGATATTAAAAACATGCGAACCACAGGGATGCTTGAAAATAGTTCTCCAACCTCATAATAGTAAAAAAAAGGATACGATCTTGACAACGAAGTGGTAGAGACAGGATCTATACACATCTCCAAGAATAGGTATGACAGAGCTCACAAAGCCAGGAACCAAGATTTAACTCTTCACCCCAAACTTAGTGAAAACAAGTCACTTTTTTAATTATCCTAAGTAATTTACGCATGTTACTAAGAAAAACAACTGCTTTCATCAGAATATACTTACATAGGTGAGCATACAATATACGTTTTCTTCCTGTTAAAGAACCAAAGAAAACGCGAGGCTCACAAAGGGTGACTTACCAAGGCCATTCTCTAGCTGGTCGCCGTAGTTAGTGTCACAGACATTCTCCAGGGAGTCACACTGGCGGAGGGTGTTACTGTTGCGTCGTGAGGTGGGAGGACCCGGACTGCCCTGCAACACAATAACACTAGTTAACATACCAGCCACAACATAAATTACCCAATGTCATTATTATTACTATTATTTTCAGAGGAAAATCTAAACCAAGGATAGTGTGTGTGAGAGTGAATATGAGAAAGACGTGTAGAAAATTTGTTCCTAAGTCAAAAATATATTCTCTCAGAACCACAACCATTCAGAAATTGACTATGCACAAAATGTTAATTTTTTTTTTTTAACAATGTGGTATTGTGACAAACGACCTGAGAGAGTCAGCATGAAATAATGGACTTTTTTCAATTTGAAGTATGAGAAAAATGAGTTTTCATTTGTTCTAGGTATTTTTTCTATTACTTTCAGTATTTTATGCTTTTAAAAACATTCACAGACATGTGTATGTCTGCGCGCGCGCGCGCGTGTGTGTGTGTGTCTGTGTGTGTGTGTATATGTGTGTGTGTGTGTGTGTGTGTGTGTGTGTGTGTGTGAGAGAGAGAGAGAGAGAGAGAGAGAGAGAGAGAGAGAGAGAGAGAGAGAGACTGTGTCTAGAGAGAGAGAGAGAGAGAGAGAGAGAGAGAGAGAGAGAGAGAGAGAGAGAGAGAGAGAGAGAGAGAGAGAGAGAGACTGTGTCTGAGGGAATGAAGAATGAGACACTTGTGCAACATTTAGGAATCTTTAATAAGGAAACGTTTCGCCAGCCAGTGGCTTCTGTCCAATACATAGTATAACAGACAAAGATGAGCAGTAGTAGTATGAGGTAATCAGTTGTACAGCATGGAATCGATGTGTTCAGTCCATCAATCTTGAGAAATGTATAGCATATGTGCAGACAAGTGACTTGTATACTGCAGTCAAGCGAGTTAAAACAGGACAAATCCACTAGTCTCAGTAGGTCATGCCTACAGGTTAGGCAAGCTTGCCTAACCTCTAGGTATGAACACCAAACACCAACCCACTCGCCTGATCCGAAACGTAAACAGGAAATCATACTGTTTACAAAATACTTTAAAGTTAACGAAAAAATAATTTCTTCTTGTACGCACTGCAAAATGTGCATTTACGTATTTTTACTCGTTAATTAAACTATTTACTGACAGGGTTAGTTAGTTTAATATGTTTATTATGCACAGGGAATATAATATTCTAAATTCTACCTTAATATGTGCTCTTGTTACAGGAAATTCTAGTACTAATAAAACTACGACCGCAAGAAGAAAAATCCTAGTCGTGAGCAGACTGTAAAAATGTTGCTCCACAGTCAGCAGCAGCAGAGGTGGGTGACATTTAGGTGTGCATGCAGAAAGTCCCTTCGTATGTAGAGTATTTCAGGTAAACTTAAGCTTGCATTAAGATTAACAAGGCAATAACTGGGTGCTTTATAATATATATATATATATATATATATATATATATATATATATATATATATATATACACACACACATACACACACACACATACACACACACACACAGTTTCTAAGTGGTTGTAAACAATAAATTTAGGGATTACAATGAGCATTTTTATCGATTTCAATTGTTTTAAGGATTACAGGTCAGTGATGGGCAGCAACTGATCTACTGTTCACTACCTTAGTGTCAGTTTAGTTAGTGATCATTACTGGTTGAGGAGCTGTACCAGTAAGTTTACTGATCTGACATTAGGTACACAACCATTCAAGTATTACATGACAAAACTTTACATTATCTGAAACAAATTTGTGTATCGTTTGATCACTCTAGCATCCATAGTATGATAATTTTTTGCGATCCTAATATGATCGCACTAGCAACCCTAGTTTGACCACCCTATAAACCCTAGATTTATCACCATAGCTATTTCACACTAGCCTGAGAAACTGCTTCTCGTACATGTTTATTTCTAAACGAAATTTGAAAAACTGTCTTAGTCCCCAGACCTCTTGTGCGTCTATATACACATTCTTGTGTTACCGTCCATACGATGGATATGGGGCTTGAAAAATCCCAAAGCTCGGTTGGTAGCGCGCTGTCCGTGGTTCGATCCCAGGTACAGGTGGCACACCTGCTGTCTGTTTACCTAGCAGCAAGTAGGTACCTGGGTGCTAGCCGACTGGTGTATGTCGCATCCTGGGGAACAAGATTAATCTAAGTTGCGAGAACTGCTCTGCATAACGAGGGAGCTTTCTATATAGTACGTCGCTGATTTTGGCTATGGTCTGTATAAGTTGTATCACGTACTTATAGAAATAAATATTATGATTATTAAAATGATTATTGTACAACTCAATCTCGCATTACAGACCATAATCGTGCAAACCTGGACTTTTTTTTAAGTCTGCTCCCTAGTTAGCAGAGGTACCACAGATGTTTCTTGCAATTTGTTTATTAATATACGTTACTGCAGGTTCATGTAGCTCAACCTGATTGAAAGTAATGAAAGTATTTACCATTTTACAAAGAACGTTAAGAAACTGACGTTGGGTATAAGGGAGCTAACGTATTACAATGAGGACTCGTACGAAGACATGATACCTGTCTGGCACATACATTACCCCCCCCGCCAGAGCCCCCCACAGACATGTATACATGTATCATGACTCACGAAATCATAATGACACGATTGCAAACAAACCATACCACGGGAAGGGCTTGAACCCGACTCTCTAAGCGCGGGTTCAAGCCCCGCTCGTGGTATAGGTTATACAGTATCACTTCATTAATTAATATAAATTTGATCAATGAGGGTAAACCATGTAATATATTCATTGCTCCCGCATGGAGGACATTCTCTATAACTTTTCTCTGGATTAAGGTACTGGCAATAATGGTGTAGAGGAAGAAGCGGGGTGAGGTGTAGAGAGGAAGGAGTATGGCATACAGATGGAGGAGAGGGCAAGGCATAGGAAGGAAGGGGTAAGCCGTAGAGAGGAAGGAGGGGGTAAGCCGTATTAGAGAGAATGGGGGGGGGGTAAGGCGTAGAGAGGAAGGAGGGGAAAGTCGTGAAGGCTAGGGTGTAGCTGCAATATGGTGAGGGGAGGAAAGAGTGAACAGATGAGTGGAGGAGTAAATGAGTGAGGAGGAGAGGAAGTAGATAGCTTAAAAGAACATTTTGACCATAAAGATCATACAGTAGTGTGCAAATTAACTGAGACAGGAGTAAATTTTGTAATTCTCTCACGTCTTAGTCTCCAGCTTAATTAATGTGGTTTGGGCTCTTTTCAGAAGAATTTGATACCGATTTCTGGCAACCATCCAGCTGTAGTGTTACCCGGCGACTCTCGTCAGTGCTACAATGACTGTTGTTCTGTAGGGCTATTCATAGAAGCGTCCTCTATTAGTGAATGTATTCTCGCCAAATACCCCTGCAATTCATGATTACTGATGAAATTCATGAAGGTTACACCTAGGAAGCAAGTACTGCAGCTCTTAAAAAATATGCTGATTTCAGTATCAGACAGATCACCAAAAATTGGAGCCTAGCAAAGTCAACCGTTGGTTAGATTCTGAAGAGAGCTGCCGACACTGGTGATTGTGGAGCGATGCGTCGAGGAAGATGTGGAAGAAAACGGAAGGCAACATCTCACGATGGCAAGGTTATCATTAGAAATATGTGGTGTGAAGGATCCCAAGAAAATCAGCAAAGATCTACACAGAGATTTGGCTTCAGCTGGTGTAAATGTTGACTCTTCAACTGTTCGATGAAGACTCGAAGTTGGCAGAACTGCCAGAAAGCCGGTAAATAAACAATTATTGAGTGTTGCTATGAAGAAAAAACGGCTTCGGTGGACATTCGACCATAAGGGATGAAAGATGAGTGAAGAAAAGTCATATTTTCAGATGAGGCGCATTTTGAAGTACAAGGGTACAAATCAGTGGCAGCGAGACGGAGCAAAGGCGAACCTCTTCGGAATGGACACATTCAACAAGCGCCAAAACACCCATCTAAAGATGTTTTGGGGTAGTTTTACTGCTAAAGGCCCTGGATGGCTTGTTATTGTTGAAACAATGAACAATGACAAATGAAAGTTAACCCTGGCAACTCATTTACTTTCCATTGTGGATAGAGACTTTCCTGATGACAAAGGCATTTTCCGGCAGTATCTTGCTCCATGCCACACTTCCAGAAAAATGCTAACCTTCTTCGAAGAATAATTCTCCTGACTCAACTGAAAATCTATGGGCAATAACACAAACGCAAGATCGCGAAACTGGATTGTTCAACTGTGAAGCTAACTGCTGCTGTTATTAGGACTTGGCACCACCACGAAGAAGTTGCCAAAATGCGTTCAACATTTGTCGATTCTATGCCAAAGCGCGAAGTAATGTTTAGAAAAGCAAAGGGTAGTCATATCTTTTATTAAATCATATCATTTTCAAATAAATGTCTGATTTCATCACTGTCCCAATTATTCCCCCACCCACACACACACATATATATATATATATATATATATATATTATATATGTCGTGCCGAATATGTAAAACTGGTCAATTAGCAAGAACTCATTTAAAATTAAGTCCTTTCTAAAATTTTCTCTTATACGTTTAAAGATATATTTTTTTCATTAATGTTAATGTAAAAAATTTTAATTTTACTCCAAAAGAATCTTAGAAAACTTACCTAACCTTATTATAACAAGAACAATTTATTATAACTTAACCCAACTAAATATATTTTAGATTTGTTTACAGTAATTTAATACTAAACAAACACAGTGAAATATATTTTTTTTCGTTAGGTTCAGAATGATTTTGGCGAAATTATTGCATACACAAATTTTCGCTTGTCCTATATGGCAAGATGAGCGTTGCTATTTAAGCCAAGATCGCAAGTTCTGCCTATTCGGCACGACATATATACATACATACATACATACACGCTTGCGCGCGCGGGACAGAAGGGGGAACAAATGACCCAGGATCTGCAGCTGTTCCACAACCACTTCTAAGCGACTACATTTTGGTAAGAAAACAAATACGTGCACAATCATGTGCACAAACTTGTGCACATGATCGTATGTACACGTGAACAC